ATAGTCCACAGAGTACAACTAGAATTCCTTCATAACATGAAATATTTTTATGACGTGGAGCTTATTCTCCTCCTTCGATAGCGCCATCCTATGCATGTCTTCTCAGAAGCAGGCTATATTGAATTAAGTGGTATTTACTCCAAGCTAAGTGTGCACAGGATCCATCGCAGGCTTATAATGGCAAATTGGGGGTAGTTCAGCCATTCATCATGTCAGGGAACAAAAATTAATGTAACGTTTTAGGGATTTAGTGCAACTAAGAATAGCAGCGGATATCTAAAAATGTTTTAGTTTAGATTAAATGTGAAGTTTAAAAACAGGTGGATAATTTCAAATAGTCATTAAATATGGACCCAAAACGGTCCATAGTAATTTCAATTGCCAGAGTAGATATGGAAAAAGGTTCTCCTTTTTTAAAAGCAAACTTACTGCTACTCTTTGTTGCCTTGGGAGTTGTTGCTTTTTCTTTTGGAAAAAGCACGTTCTTTTGAAACTGAAGGGAGAACTGATTTAACTTTACTCAGTCATGTGATTCTGTCTTAAAATACCAACGAACTCCATCCATAATGTAATTTTCTCCTTGTGTGCAGATGCCCTGAAACACAAATATTCTATATATAAACAATGAACAAGCTATAACCATATTAATCACAGTGTCTGGAAAAGAATCATGTGAACAGGGCCTAAAAGTTAGGAGCGGGGAGCGGGGCTTTTGTTCAGCTGGAACTCGGTGGAACGCAGTTCCGGCACCTCTCAGGTGTGCACCATTGCCATTCTAAGAGAAAAAGGGAGGTGTTCATGGTGGGTTTGGTTTTTCTAGAAAAATAGCACTGGTAGGCTGCTTTGCTCTTCCCAGCTCATTCTGCTTCTGTTCTGTACAGAACCAAGACATGGTTTTGCTTAAGAGTGTCATCTGAATGTGGGCTCATGGTTTAGCTCTCTCCGCTGTAACCAAGGCTTGTCCTATGGTTTACACTGGCGGGGTCAGCAAAGTTCATGCGCAGCTTCCCACTGGCTGCAGGAGCTTCCTGCAGCAAATGGGAAGCTGGCCAGCATCATTGAAGGCGGTCCCCGCTCTGCTCCGTGCCGGTTTAGTGCGGCGCACAGGAGCTGACCAAGCGGGCGTCAGGGGTCCATGGGCCGGTTAAACGACCCCTTAGGTTTAAACGACCTTAGCCTTAGGTTGCTGACCCGGTTTACAGTCTGGGAGTTGTCTAGGAGAGCTAAGATTGAGCCTGGGTTTGAATGACACACTAAGCCAAACCATAGCTTAGCTCAGTACTGCGCAGCAGCAAAATGATCTGGGGTGGAGCAAAGGAACCTCAATTGCCTCTTTGGGAGACATGGGTTGGCACAGAGCGACATGCAAACTGAGTCAGGGTTTGTGCAGAGACAAACAAACGACCTCCATCAGATCTTAGGATACAGGCAGGGTGATGGGAGAAGCAGATATGGGAAATGTGGCTACCCAGGTTTAAATTCCAGCTCTGTTATGGACCAATGATGCTGGGAACTGCCTCCCTGTAAGGTGGTTCTGTTGTTTTTGCAAACTAAGGATGAGTCAGACATGGTAGTTTTAGTTTCAGTAACTGTTTCGAGAAAAACTTGCAAGTGAGATGTGGCTCTCACTTGTGGGCAGATCCATGTCCTAGAACGGCTTGTGGATTAACATTTTAGCAGTCTATAGTTTGATATTCAGTGGAAGACAAGAGTGCCTGGAGTGCTCTGGTCCATGGGGTCATGAAGAGTTGGACACGAAAAAACAACAAAAACAAAGATGGATATTATGAATGCAGAAGCACAAGTGAATGACAAGTTTCCTGTATGGTAGTAGATGACAATACTCTTTTCTTGATTCATTTCAAGTGTGTATGTGTATCATAATTGGACCAGGTAACATAAGACTACTTAATATGTGAGACTCCTCCCCTTGCTCCCTTATAGTGCAAAGGGAAGACCTTTATGGTGTGGCATCTCTGAAGTTCCTCCTGCCAAAGACCTTAAGAAGCATGACTCATGCCAGTCACCTTCAACCTTTTCAGACCCTGGACCTGACGTATAGCACAAATATTGAGACCCTTTTCTTATTTTTTTTTACCATACATTTGATGGCGATAGGGCTGCTTTTGCACTCCATGTTAGAGGACAACACTGTCCAGTTCACTTCCTCCTTCTTTTGATAAATCCACCTTCACCAGGAGAGGGCTAGGCCACTTTTTCTTCTTCTTCTTCCCAATATGGAGATTTCAGCAGCATTTTTCTTGTCACACTAAAGTCAACGCAAGTTGACTGTTTACAGTGCACTGGGCCAGCCTGGTGAATGGTTCAGATTCCAGAGTTCTCCTAAATGCACCATTAGAAAATCTGGGCAAAACCGGGTGTTCATGAAATCTGAGAAAATAATGAGTTGACACAAATTATGCTTCATTGCAGATACCGCTCTGAAAAAATGTGTAAGAAATGATTTTCAGTGCTATATTGATTGCCACTTCAGCCTGTTTTTTAGAACAGATATTTTCAGACCCAGAAGTCGCTTTTAACCCAAACATGTATTTGGAGACACATTTATTAATCTTCTACCATTTTCAGTGCTATATTGATTGCCACTTCAGCCCGTTTTTTAGAACAGATATTTTCAGACCCAGAAGTCGCTTTTAACCCAAACATGTATTTGGAGACACATTTATTAATCTTCTACCATTTGGTAGTGGTCCGGTCGTGACTCATCTTGGATCAGGACACCCCCCACCCCAGTTGAAAACCAGCGTTTTAGTAGATGTACTTCCTTCTTTTTGTTGCCTGGCATTACTCCAGGCAAGAACAAGGTTAGGAAAACGCTGCCTAGGGATCGCTGTGCCAATTTCAGTTGTGACGTCTTTTTCTTTTAAGATTTTTTGGTAAACTATGCAGAGAAACTCTGGCTGGCTGCTCTTGAGAACATGATGCTGGAATGTGGCCTGATCCACTGGAGCTCTTCTTGTTCTTTGGGGCCTATAAAACAGGATTGGAATCGCTGTTGTTTCACGTTGCCATTGTGTTATGCATTGGATATTTTCATTTCAGATTTTTATGCTGTAAACCGCCCTGTGAACTTCCGCTGAAGTATTTAAATTTGATTAATGAGGGTGATGTACAAAGGGCATATACCCAACTCTTGCTGTGGAGCAACCCACCCTGGGCCACTTCCAGACCCTCCCAAGTGACCCTATTTTCCAGGGACAGTTCTGGATTTACAGAAGCCGTCTCAGTTTCTGATCTGATCCTGGAACATCCCACTTTCCCTTAGGACATTCATATTTTCACTGGAGGGTAAAGCAAATAATTTAATTAGACAGCGCCTATATGGTATCGAGCAACAATAATGGCAAAAATTTTGTCCATGGCATGATTATTTTCCACCTGGTCATTCTGACACTTTGGCACCCTGTTTGCAAAATACAGATGCGCTTTCATTTCGCAAGACTGAGGCTGTATTTGAGGGTTGATTTCAAAAAATTCCACTGGAAAAACGGTTACGTCCATGTGGAGATGGCAGTATTGAGTCAGTGGCTCATGTGCTTCTGGCTTGCACTCTATAGATTTGAGGAGTGAGGTTATTACCCCTCTACTATTGTCCATGACGGGTTGCTCAACCTTTGCTATTGTGTCCTATCTTTTAGCAGATCAAGACGATCAGGTGACAACAAAAACTGCAAACTGGGGGCAATTAGAATAAGAGCTATTATTTTATTATTGATGTAAACCCCCCAAATATATTTCCTATAGTTTTTACCTCTACCTCTGTCTTCATATTATATTTTATTTTATTGCTATGGGTAGTGGCTGATGCAGATAAAAGATTCTTCTGCTGCATCAGAGGGTATGCAGTTTTGCGACCCTTGAGTCAAGGAGATAAGGGACTACAGTATATTAGAAGATATCTGACGGCAGCCCTGCGTCGGGAATTTTTTAAAGAAATTGAATGTTTTATTCTGTTTTTTATATGTGTTGGAAGCTACCCAGAGTGGCTGTGGCAACCTAGTCAGATGGGCAGGGTATAAGTAATAAAATTATTATGATTATTATTAATCATAATATTATTATCATATTATTAATCATTATTAATCATTATTAATTATTAAGATTCTCCCTATTTTATGGGAGAATACCTGTAGCACAACATATATAAAAAACATAATAAAGCATTAAAAATAGGTTATGTTTTATATATGCTGGAAGCTCCCCAGAGTGGCTGGGGCAACCCAGTGGAATGGGTGGAATATAAATAATAAAATTATTCGTATTATTATGGAATAGGATGTCCCCATTTTCATGGGAGAATAACTATCCCCACAGGCTTATGCTGCAAACAGTCCTGTGAGGATGAATGTAAATGAAACAAGTGAACCGATAAACATACACAGAATAATTATGCTTAGAACCGCCCCGAGATTTACGGTAAATTACGGAAGGTGGGCGGTATACCAATGTAATAAACAATAATAGCAATAATATTAAAGGGAATAGCCGCCCCAACCCTCTCGCGCTGCCATATACCAACGTGGGGCCCTCGCCGCCCTCACGCCTGAGGTAAAGGCACCCACGACGGAGCCTTTTGTGAGGAAACAGCGGCCTGAGGCGCCATGAGGCAGCTCCGCTGCGCCTGCGCTCTCGGCGCCAGCGGCCTAGGCCTGCTTCCCCCCCCCCCCCGTCGCCGGCAGCAACCGGGACCGCCAAAAAGGGCCTCGCCCCGGGCAGCTGGGAAAAAGCAAAGGCGCAGCACGTTCCTTCGAGCCAGTTCTTTAAAAAAAATTAAAATAATCCGCCGTTGGGGGGCAAAAGAACCCCTCCTCGCCACCGCTTTGCATGCCGGGAAACGTAGTCCCTTTAGCCGCTCCGCCGCGAAGCACTCCCCACCTCGGCGCTATGCATGCCGGGGCTTGTGGTTCTTTTTCCCGCCGGCCGGCGCAAAGCCTGTTGGGAGCCGTAGTGCCTCTCCTCCTCCTCCCCCCACCCTTGGTCGCGACGGCGGTTCCGACGCGGCTGCTGAGGGGGAAACGGTCGCCGCCGTTGCTAACGTTCGCCCGCCCGCGCGCCGCGTCGGCCTGCTGCGTCACTTCCTCTTCCGGGCGCGCGGCCGAGGAGGCGGCGGCGGGTCAGTCGGTCGATCTATCGGCAGCCGGCCTCCTCCTCCTCTGAGGGAAAAGGAAAAGGTGGGGGGGTCGATACGGGCTTTTCTCTCCTCAGCCGCCGCCGAGGAGGAGCCGCTGCCGCCGCCATTCCCGCCGCCGCCGCCGCCATGGAGCCGGAGTCGGTGATCGAGGACAAGACCATCGAGTTGATGGTGAGTATGAGGGGGCCGAAACCGACGCCGGAGCCCTTTTCTGCCGCCTTCTTCCCTCAGGCCCCAGAGACGCGGGCGAGGCCTCGCGAGGGGAGGAGACGCCACAACCGGGCGGGGGGGGGAGGGGCGAGGTGGGAACCAGAAAAGAGAAGGAACGGGAGGCGCCGGCGCGGTGGGAGCTGGTCTTTGTAGGCCTCGGGTTTCGCCTGCGCATCCTCCGCTCCCTCCTTCCTTTTCTTTCGTCCCCGCAGTGGGGAGCGAGGGGGGGGGGAGGAGGAGGAGGGGGCGGGCCGGCTGGCCGGCTGGCCTCGCACTTCCAGGCCAGGTTTCTTTCTCTGCTGCTCTTTCATTCGCAAAAGGGATCCTCGGAAAGCCGCCTTTCGCCGCTGCCCGTTATGTGTCAGCTGGGGAAGGTGGGGGTGGGGAGAGATCGGCCCCTTTTGGCCCCCCTTCTTTTCCCCACCACCCAGACCTCTACACCCAGGGTGTTTTGCCTCCCTCCTCCCCTGTTGTAAGCCACCCAGAGTGGTTGGGGGCAACCCAGTCAGTCAGATGGGTCCAAATAATAAAAATTATTATTAAATCATTATTATAATTATTATTATTATTACTGTCCCGAGCAACCAGGACAAAAGCCACGCAAGGTGTTGGGCATCCGCGCAGGTGAAAGGCCTCTGGGTACATGTGTCGCTCCTCACCCCCTAAAAAAAAGAGAGAGAGAGAATGTGCTGAAGGTGACATTTGCGAGCCAAGTTGTCTCTCGCAGCTTAAGAGCCCAGTTTCACAAAGCAAGGGGCATGGTTTGGAGGGGCGATGCGCTTGGGCTGTTGCTGTGTGTACATTTCAGCTTCCAGGCTCCTTGGGACTGCAAAGCTTTGATCAATCAATCAGGGCAATTGAACAGCTAGCGGGTTCGATTTGGCCACTTCTCTCACCCCTCCGAAAAAGATCATTGTTGGGGTGGACAACAGTGGCCTACTTGCCATGCAGAGAGGCTTGCACAGATGTGCTGGCTAAAGATGGCGGGTGGCCCCCTCCCCCTTGCAGTGTGGTAACTTAGGATTTCATAATCATAAGTGACCATCTTCAAGAGATGCTGACCTCTTCCTTTAGAGTACCTTTATTGAATGTTGTTGATTGTGTGCACTTTCAATTGTAATTGGCTAATTAAAATTGGTCATATAAACATTAAGATGGTGATGCTGAATTGATTTTAAATCCTTTGTATCAGTTGATAGCCTTAGTACATTTGTCTTGGATGCTCTACCTTCGTAGAAAGATAGCAAGCTAGTGTTCTTCTTGCTTACGAACTTATTTATTTTGGTACTTTGAGTTTTGTTTGTTTGTTTGTTTTTTAATGCAAAAGGCTCGTAAGCAAGCAACACTTTGACACTTTTAGCCAAAAAGGGGAAATGTCTGCCATGGGATATTGTGGAGCTGTGTTGTATATGCGCAATATGCAGTGGTCTGAAATGTGGCGTGCTCAACATACTATGGAGCTTGCTCCCAGTCCTCGTGCAACATTTCTATGTCCAGAGGCAGACACAGAAGGTGTTAGTTTTGCTCAGATCCTTGTAAATATGAGTCCTTAATGTCAGCTATACACCTTCTGAACGTTGAAGTTGGAGGTTTTTTGTTCGTTTTACAATTAACATAATAATGAAAGGGCTTTAAAAGAAATCTGTTTTGAGTGGAATAATGTTTATACAAAACAATGAAATTTGTTATCTTACAAATCTGCCTTTGCTGATGGAGATTCCCTGGAGATCAGTTCGGGTTTTGTGAGTTCAAGTATGGATCACAACCAAAGAAGTCCTTAGTTGCAGTCTTTCTTTGTCAGGGAAAGGTGTATAAAGAAACTTTCCATTTGTCTCTGTGTTGGGGACAACCCTTCACATATGTTCTGGAGCTATTAAACTGGGGCCAGTACCTGATTATTACATTTTTAGTCACTTTCCTGTTGTCATATATACAAACATGGTTGATAACGTGAAGAATGTGCTTATTTGTTTATTTTTTCTTGGAAATTTTGTTTCCTTTTGTGTGTCAATACTAAAGCAGAAGCTCCTTTTATGGACTTGAGAAAGTGTGCAGAATAAATGTAGAATGTTAAATTTGTTTTTCTTCATTTTACATTAATGATCTGTATTTTCCTCAGTAGAACCATTTGTTTTATAGAAGCAATATAATTTAGTGAGGTGCAAGGGCAAGACTGCTCAATTCTACATTGTTGGAAAAGCACATAGCAGATAAAATGGCCACAGGGAAAATGAAGAGGGTAACATTGCTGTAACAAACCCAAAGGCCCAATAGTAAAATGTGGTTAAAGGTAAAGGTACCCCTGCCCGTACGGGCCAGTCTTGACAGACTCTGGGGTTGTGCGCCCATCTCACTCAAGAGGCCGGGGGCCAGCGCTGTCCGCAGACACTTCCGGGTCACGTGGCCAGCGTGACAAGCTGCATCTGGCGAGCCAGCGCAGCACACGGAACGCCGTTTACCTTCCCGCTGGTAAGCGGTCCCTATTTATCTACTTGCACCCGGGGGTGCTTTCGAACTGCTAGGTTGGCAGGCGCTGGGACCGAGCAGCGGGAGCGCACCCCGCTGCGGGGATTCGAGGTGGTTGAAGATATGCCATAGGGCTCTGAAAACCTTAATAGTCCTTTTTGCACATTATATCCGGGAAGTCATAGCTGTTTGACAACTCAAAGAAAAAAATGTGGTTACGTAGAAGCATTTTTTAAAAATAAGAATGGTGAAGTGACTTGGCAATGATCAGGAGAGTGCTATGAATTATATGTATATTTTATGTAGCCTTCTCTGTAATGAACATTTTACTGAGTTGTTGACACTAAACACTGCGCTTTGCTACAGTTGGGTTTTGACAGCAGTTGAGATTTATTTAAGCTGACAAGCAAACTGCGAGTTTTAGGAAACATGTAAACTCTGTCTTAAGAATTCTAATCATGGCCAAACATTACAGTAATATTATGGTTGTGTGTTCTTGTATTTCTTAATCCATTAGTGCTGGTCACTGTGCTATAGGAGCAGTAGAGCACTTGCTTTGCACCCACAGAGTACAAGATTCGGTGTCTAGCATCATTATTAAAATGATTTTAGGACTAGGAAAGATCTGTATCTTAATACTTTCGAGAGCTGCTCTTAAACTACAGTGGTGCCCCGCAAGACGAATGCCTCGCAAGACGGAAAACCCGCTAGACGAAAGGGTTTTCCGTTTTTGAGTTGCTTCGCAAGACGATTTTCCCTATGGGCTTGCTTCGCAAGACGAAAACGTCTTGCAAGTCTTGCGGTTTTTTTCCGCTCCCCCCCCTTTTTCTAAGCTGCTAATAGCCTTTTAGCAGCTAAGCCTTTAATAGCCGCTAAACCGCTAATAGCGCTAATCCGCTTAGCCGCTAATAGGGTTGCTTCGCAAGACGAAAAAACCGCTAGACGAAGAGAATCGCGGAACGGATTCTTTTCGTCTTGCGAGGCACCACTGTATGTCCTCTGATGTGACTTGAGTGAAGCAAGCTAGCACCTTTCCCTTCCAGAAGGCTGTGGCAAGGTGGATGGGAGGGACTGAATCCTAATACAGGTGACTTTTTTATCCTGGCCTTTCTCACCCATTGGGATCGGGGTACTAGTACAACAACTTGCAGTGGTTACCTTATAAGGTCCAGTCTGTTTTCTGGACAGCAACCCTCCCATCTGGAGCAGCCTGGAAACCAACTAGACAAACTGGGTTTCATTGCTGGGTAATAGCTTTTTTTCCACTCCCAAGAAATTCTGTACTGCCGCAACCCCCACCCCATCCAGATATGCTACTAAATGTTAGGAGAATGAGGAAATCCCAGTAAGTGAGTCATGACAGTGCCATAGGGCGGAGGAAGTTCTCTGTCCTGCTCTGGAAACCTTAATAGTCCTTTTTGCACATTATATCCGGGAAGTCATAGCTGTTTGACAACTCAAAGAAAAAAAATGTGTAAAATAAGTACTCACAAACAGCATTGCAGATTCAAAATAAGTGAACTGAATTATAGGGTAGTACGTTGAATTTTAGGGTAGTATGTTGTAGTGCAGATCAAACTTACACTACATAGATATTGCCTGTAAGCACAGCCACATTTTTGTGGTGTTCTTGGAGCAGATTTTCCCCACTTGCTTCTTTTGGGTATAATTTCTTTCAACTCTTGACTGGATATTTGGTGTGGGAGTTCAAAATCAGAACGATGAAAGAAAACATTAAGATAGGTAAGGTACTCAAACAGACTCTGCATTTGTCTTGGACGGCAGGTCGAAAGCTCTTTTTGTAATATGAAATGTGACACTGGATCAAGGCATTGTTTTTTTCAGTCTTCAGTGAGTTTGTCAGATGGCTGCAGCATTTACTTTCAGTAATTGAATCATCAATATGAAGAATAATTTGTTGAAGTGTTTGAACTTTGACAGCGTGGTGTTGTTGTTGACTGCTGCTCTTCAGTTTTGATAACATAGCAGTACTTTTTCTAAAAAGCGCCTCTGTGAAAACGTGCACTGTAAAATTAGCATAGACAGGTGTGATGAATCAAGCAGCCAATTCCAGGTGGCTTAATTTTGCCATTGTTAATCTTAAGCATTCAAGTTATTTCAGTGGTACCTTTGGATGCGAATGGGATCCATTCCGGAGCCCCGTTCGCATCCTGAGTAAAACGTAAGACACGACTGCGCGGGTCACGGTTTGCCTCTTCCGCACATGCGCTGACGTCATTTTGAATGTCTGCGCAAGTGGCGAAACCCGGAAGTAACACGCTCTGTTACTTCTGGGTCGCTGCAGAGTGTAACTTGAAAACGCTCAACCTGAAGCACATCTAACCCAAGGTATGACTGTATTCTAAAAGTGTCAAAAATTATAGGCTTGTGGTGATCTCCAATATTTTCATGCTTGGAGTAAACGCATTGAAATCGATGGACATGATGTGAAGTCCATTAATTTCAGTGGCCCTGATCTGTGACTAACATTAGAT